GTGCATTGCTAACAGCGGAGCTATCTCAGCCGACAGGCTGCTTGTTTGCATTTTGATTCAAAGTAACAATTTGGAGTCATTTCTCAGATGTGCTTTGACCGATTTCATTCAAATTTGACAGGTCATTATAGTTGAGATGTGCATGTCAATGTTTTTTTTATTACACAGATCTTTTTTGTGGCCAGTTTAGTCCTTCTAATTATTCTAAAATCAAAATTTCGGTGTTTCAAACTTTTTTGGACATGCATTGCCCAATTTTTGTTTTCAAATTTGGTATGTTGGTTCTGTTTTGTTTCCATTCAATATGTCCGACTGGTGTACATATAGTCTATTGATTTTACATAGTCTTTTCTCGGATATACTTTAATCTATAAGATTCAAAGTTGGTACAGTGACAGGTGATATTATTTGTAATGTGATATTATTTGAAATTTTTTTTGATCGGTTCATCAAAATGGCTGCAAATTACAAATAATTATGATCTCGGTGTTTTTTTCAGACATGCATCACAGTTACTGTGCATACATTGACCAATTTTCTTCAGATTTGGTATAATGGTTGAAAATGCAAGGTTAAATTTGTACATGCATCACATTTTGATTTAAAATGGCAAACTGGTCATGATTTTCTTTCTTAGTGTCTTTAAAGAATGCATTGCACTACAGACATAAATAATAACAAACATGCATGTTCTTTAACCATATATCTGAAGGCATTGCAATAATGATGTATTAATAGTTTTTATGTTATATATACATGAAATATAGTTCTAATAATAATGCTATTTAGGACACTTACAATCTGATTAAAATCTGATGCACTGTTTATATTTGCTTTTCAAATATTTTATTTTACTATAATTTTTTTTTTAAATTGTTTTTAATTACATCATATTTTGTATTATTTTAACTATGGACTGAAAAATAAAATTTGTGAAAAAATAATACATGCTCAAACTTCAATCTTATTTTAGTCAGATTGAAGTACAGACTATACTTACTCACTGCCAGTGTCAATATCAGGTTTTTCTATAAATATCCTAAATGTATTGTTTTGTTTATTTCCTTGTGGCATTTGAAATTCAATTTTTTACTGGTATTTATGTGTGTATTGACTTCTGTTGCACTTGGTGGAATGATTATGATTTTTACATAAATATATTGTGCAGTGGGAAATGAAGCTACAAATACCAGGTGTCCCCCATCACTTCCAAATGACATGGGACATTTAATTTGGAGTTATGAAGAATCTCTGTGTGATTTGCATTCTCCCCATAAAAGTACATACAATTTGTCCATCTAGCTACAAGATTAACATATGATATCGTTTGTTAATTACCATCATAAATTATTTTGTGATTATCATTAGATATGATGATAAAGAGTGTAAATTTATATAATTTGAAATGTAAGTAGTATTCGATGTTTATTGCTGAAGTTGGGTTAGGCTTTAGTATTTTTTAATCTTAAAAACGTGTAAGATTGAAAAATATATATTGTTCACAAGCAAAACAAAACTCAAATTAATTTCCATTATTTTTTCCCAAACATTTTTTGTATTTTGTTTTGTACTGCTTGATTTTTGTAGGAAACAATTGCTCAGGATAGTTCTGAAATATTTATCTAGATAAATCTTATTCTGTTGCTTAGATTGTTCTTTTTTGTGTTTTTTACTGGTTTAAACTGAACAACATTGTATGAGAATTTTCCAAGACACTACAACAATTTTATAGGTTAATGCATATTTTAAGGGATTATTTTTTTATGTGATTTTACTCCAATTGCTGTTTTGAAATTTTCTACGAGTGCTTTAATTTGTTATTTGAACAAACTAATATTAAATGTTAATCATGATAAGATTTAAGTTATGCAACCATTTTCGAATGTTTGTTGACCCTTTTTCAAATTGCATTTGTGATAAAGATAATGTATAACTTAAACAGATAATTGGGCATGTTCACCAGAACTCTTAATCCCTTTAAAAGAATGTGTTCAAAATATACTCACATTTTCCATTTGTTGTTAATATATCGAAATATTTTATATCTCGTAAGTTTTAATAAGAGAAGTAAATTATTTGATATATGATTTGTATCAAAATTAGTTCATTGTAAACTTAGATGTGTATAATAAAGATATACAAGTCACGTATTCAGTGTTAATCACTTTAGCTTTGCATGGGTTTAGTCTGTCTGTCTGTCTGTCTGTCTGTCTGTCTGTCTGTCTGTCTGTCTGGCTCTTTGTGTGTATGCATATGTTTACACATCTCAAAGTTTTTAACTACTATTTCACAAGCACAAGCATGGCAACTCAATTGAAAATCGATCAATACACAGATGGAACATGTCTATTATTAAATTTGGTTCCAATCCTAGTGTTACATAATGAATGTAAAAGCATTCATATGATTGTTAATAATGTAGTCCCTCTCAGTATATGATTTACCAATAGAGTAACCATAGAGATATCACCAAACCATTCAGATGATTGTTAATAATGTAGTCCCTTTCAGTATATGATTTTCCAATAGAGTAACCATAGAGATATCACCAAACCATTCATATGATTGTTAATAATGTAGTCTCTTTCAGTATATGATTTACCAATAGAGTAACCATAGAGATATCACCAAACCATTCAGATGATTGTTAATAATGTAGTCACTTTCAGTATATGATTTACCAATAGAGTAACAATAGAGATATCACCAAACCATTCAGATGATTGTTAATAATGTAATCCATCTCAGTATATGATTTACCAATAGAGTAACCATAGAGATATCACCAAACCATTCAGATAATAATGTAGTCCCTTTCAGTATATGATTTACCAATAGAGTAACCATAGAGATATCACCAAACCATTCAGATGATTGTTAATAATGTAATCCATTTCAGTATATGATTTACCAATAGAGTAACCATAGAGATATCACCAAACCATTCAGATGATTGTTAATAATGTAGTCCCTTTCAGTATATGATTTACCAATAGAGTAACCATAGAGATATCACCAAACCATT